AGCAAGGGCATGTTTGTTTTACTTGATTTTCTCTGTAAAGTGAAGATTTCCTAGGCTATATGGGCCCTCCTTAAAGGGCCCTTTCAGTTGGAAGTTTCCTTCTCTGCCTATATTTCTACTAAGCATATTTTTGGCAGCCCTGACACAATGTTTATGTCCTGTAAGTAGAGGTCAGCTAGTAGTGAAAACTTCCTGTGCTACCATAAGTCTTTTCCCTTGGCCTGGGTACTTTGTTATTTGCCATGCTTTGTCCACAATTTGGCAGCACCACTACCCACACTACGTGACAAATGACATCATTGCTATAATGAGAATTCCAAGCAGCACCACTGGATCAAAGCCCATCTGTGTGCCTGCTCCCACACTTGACAAAACAAATTCCAAATTCATTCAGCATGCCGGTGCCATTTAGTCACTGTGACATATCCCAAATTTTGGACTCTGTGCAAAACCCAATCTGTGCCCACAAAATTAATCATGGAACACATTTTATGACGTTTGACAACAACTTAAAAGGTTCTCATCTCTGGCAGGTGGCTCTGCCAATCTGCAAGTATGTGCATGACAAATTCTGAACAATATATTATGTGGCTGAAAATATATCATGCAGGATGCACACCCTGGAGAGAACCAGAATGAGTCCAAACAATCCTGAGGTCTGTCTCAGGGATACATAAGCCAGACTGCTGTCTTGTGAAGGAAGGATGATGGCCCCAGGTACACACAGAAAGCCAAAGAAAAGGCAACAGCTCGTGTGCCAGTAAATGCTGAGAACATTGGCACAATCGCCTGTGTTGGCAGGACCAAGAGTTTGAGATGGCTAATTTAAGCGACAAGATCCTGGCAAACAGATTTATTTAGGGCAAGGGTGCGTCAGAAAGATGCCAGAAAAATACATCAATCTGTGCCTTTACATGTACTGTAGAGTGATGATGAGACAGTTGACATTAAAAAAGTAAACCCTTACACTTTAATATAATCTGCAGTTCATCCTAACAACAAGTAGGGTTTTGCTTTCAATCCCTGGTACTCCAAGATGGGGTTTTATGTTCTCATCTGAGATCTTTGATCAAGAAAATTTTTCAACAGGTGTTCTTGAAGAGTTTTCCCCATATGGTTGTGTTGAATTGATGAGACTAGTGTTTTTATATATTGTTTAGTTTATTTAAACATGTAGGCTATTTCACATTTGACAACATCATTCACTTCAAATAAAGGAAGCCACTTATCTAAAATTTTACTTACTGAGGAGTATATTACCGGAACTCTGTTAGAAAAAGAAAGAAAATGGGGACTTTAGTTGTACTGATAGAACCCTTCACTTAAGAGCAGTATTTTACTCTGTACTAAAACATAACTGTTTTTCCGTATCTCTCGTGTACAGTAGTGCTTATCTGTGCATATTTCAACCGGCAATAAAACAATAAAATGTGAAAATAATAGCAAAACATTCCACTTGGTGTGTCTGGCTTCCTCATGTTACTTTCCATGTTCCATTTTCCATCTCTAGACAGTCTTCTACTCCCAATTTTCCCCACCTACTCCCTCCTTCTCTGACTCGATGCTGTCTTAGTACATTGTATTTGCAAGGTCTTGGGTTAGGAAAGCTTTCATAGCCTGGCAGCCTGCTTAGGACTTTAATTCCTTGTATGAAGACAAAATTTGCATAATTTAGCTTTCACTGGGATTTATCTTCACTCAGAGTTCCTATTCTAAGTCTGAGTCTTCCTTTCCATCTCTGAGGCAGAAAATAGTATGAGGAAGCAACAGGTAAAGAGGAGCTCTTCCACAGGAAGAGCAACTTCTTGATTCGGAAGTAAGTCCTAATAACCTGATAAGTCAATCACCTGATAGTGGCATAAAACTCAAAACAGCTCTGCCTCATTTGTGTGCACAGTTGCCTCCTTTGGGACACAGGACAGCAATCAGTCCTCTCTTCTGGAAAGTGAAGGAGCCGGACTCTAGTCTCTCTCAACTCCAGTAGTCAGGGAATTGTGAATTACAGAGTGGGATTTTAGGGGATCCCTCCTTATACTAAAACTGATTCTTTTATTTTGTGCATTGAATACAAATGGTTAATTGACTCATATTTTCCCTGCTCAGTAGCTCCTAAAATTTTTTTCTTCGTTTCCTATGCTTAAATAATTAGTGATCTGTAACTGGCCTGATTCCCAATTCTTAGAATATGACTTTTCAATCTTTTTATTTTCTCTGAAAACTTTTAGGATTTTCTACTTATCCCTGGAATTCTGAAATTTTATGATGATATGTATGTTAAGAAATTACCAAGGATGGGGTGCCTGGGTGGCTCAGCCGGTTGAGCGTTCAACTCTTGTTTCAGCTCCGGTCATGATCTCAGGGTCACGAAATTGGGCCCTGTGTCATCAGTCATCAGGCTCCCAACTCAGCAGGTAGTCTGCTCCCCTCTCCCTGTCCCTCCTCCCACTCTTGCACTCTCTCTCTCAAATAAATAAATAAATCTTTAAAAAAAAAAAAAAAGAAATTACCAAGGACAAGGAAAGGATCACTCAAAAGGAGCAAACAATCCCCAGTCCCAGTTACTGAGAATTGTTCCTGTTCCTGCCAGTCAAAATAGAATCACATAATTCACGGGGCATGGGGTAAAGAACTTAGAAGGGTATTGACTCAATAGTGGGACACCATTAGCCCTACACAAAAGGCTGAACTGGTTCCACCTAACAAAGCTTAAAATCAAGCCTCAAAGGACAAAATTGTTTTCAAGTATCCTATCTGCATTTCAAAACAAATCTCAAATATTCATAGTGATACAAAAATATCCAGCACCCAAAAAGTAAATTCCACAATGCCTGGCATTATACATTCATATATATCTCACTGGTCATGCAAGAAACAGGAAATTATGAGTGTAATGAACAGAAAAATCAGTCTATAGAAACAGTACCAGAAATAGCACAGATTATAAAATTAAAATAAAAACATTAAAATTGTCATTATAATTGCATTCTATCTGTTCAAGAAGCTGTGGGAAAGATTGGGCATGGTAAGTAAGGACATGGGAAATGTAGAAACACACACACACACCCTTAAATCTAAACTGCTACAGATAAAAATGATAACCTCTGAGATGAAAAATGAACCATTGGGATTAAGAGAATATTAAATGTCAAAAAAATGAAACAGAGAAAAGTTTAAAAAAACACAATGAATAGAGTACTAGTGAGCTGTAAGACAGTGTCAGACAATGGAATGTACATGAAAGTGGGGTCATCAAAGGAGAGGAGCTGGAGGATGGAGGAAACGAAAATATTTGAAGAAATAAGGGCAATGTCTGCATTTGTCTTGTTCCATGGGACATTCTCAGTGCCTAGCAAGACACCTGGTAGACACTAGACATTTAGCAAACATTTCTTGAAAATATTTGTGGCATAACAATGAGTAAAAGATAAGCACATGAGTGCTACTGCAGAGTATAAGGACTATCAGGGACCAAGGAAGAACACTTCGAAGAGAGGGAAGCCTAGTAGAAGTGGCGCTTCTTCAAGCAGACAGGGAGGATGGGTTCATTTGGAAGGTGTATATGGTTTGGAGAACTGGAGGAGATGAACAAGGGCATTCTATATAAGAACAACATAAGTGAAGACTTGGAAGCAAGAATAAACATGGTTTTGAATATATCACCCCAACTGGAGGGGTGGTTGCACTTGAGGGATAATGAGAAATGAGATTAGATGGATAACTTAAGGGTCAGAGTATGCAAGTCTTTAGAAATAGGAAATGGGGGGGGTAACCATTCAAAGTTTCTGAACAGAAACCCTTGATGATGAAATTAGGGTTCAAGGGGAAAAGAGTGTAATGATAACATTCATGATGCATTAGAAAATATTATACTTGAATGGAAAGAGTGGGCTGGAGACAACCAGGAAGTTGTTACAACAATCCTATCATGAAGTGTTGAAAATTTGTATTTTAAAGCACCTGGGGTGCCTGGGTGGCTCAGTCGGTTGGGCGTGTCTGCCTTTGGCTCAGGTCATAATACCAGAGTCCTGGGATAGTCGCGCACCGGGCTCCTTGTTATGCTTCTCCCTCTCCCTCTGGCTGCTCCCCCTGCTTGTACTCTTTCTCTCTCTCTGTGTGTCAAATAGATAAATAAAATCTTAAAAAAAAAAAAAAAAGGAAGAAGAAAGAAAGAAAGAAAGAACAAACCTAACACAGTTAACAGCAGAGACATGGCTTAAATGATTAAATGTCAGTGAGATCTAAATACTGGGCAAATTAATATTCCATTTAAATTAAATACTAAATTTTTTCTTGGTTCATGAATTTTCAGAAGTGGCCCTAAGAATCTGTAATGCATTAAGAAAATTTGCTTCATATTTCATTTACATAAGATTTTGGATCAGCTTTTTAAAATGGTTCCTTTGTGCACCAAAGTGCCTTGTTCTCTTGCTCATCCAGGTGTTTCATGCTTTTTTGTACTTTCCATCCTTACTCTCAAACAGATTTGCAGGCAAGACTCGTGCCTTGATTTTTTAAATTAAATTGATGCTGCCACAAAAGGAGAATTTATCCCGTTACACAGTGTCACCGAACCCCAAAGTTTTAGAGTGGAAAAGAGCTTGGGGATAGCACCTTTCATCGCACAAACAGGGAAACTGAGGCCAAGGGAGATTAAGTAAGAAGTCCAGACTCATACAGCCATTAATGGTCAAGCCAAGACAAGAATCCAGACTTCCACTTGGAGCCAAAAGTCCCAAGCGGGCGGGACAAGGCTTGAGTCCGAGGTAGGGAGCAAGAGTCAGGAAAGGTGCTTCTTCACCTTCGGAGACCGGGGGATCCGCTAACCTCGGAACCGCTGAATGTTCTGCGCAAGACCAAGGCCAAGATCCCCGCTCCCGGGTCGCCTCCACTACCCTCAGAGCCACCGCTCCTACTCTCGCGATGCTGTCAATCTGTCGCCCTTCCAGCTCCTGCTAAGCCCCGCCCCTCCACCGCACCCTATGTCGTCATTTCCTGTGGGTCTGCAGGCAAAGGGAGAAGATGGCGGCGCTGGGAGAACCTGTGCGGCTGGAGAGGGGTGAGTGCGGCCGAGGCCGAGACCCAGACCGAGGTGGGCGGAGGGGGTGAAGGAATGCCGTATTGCCGGAGGGGAGGAGGGGCGACCCAGGCTCCGAGACCGGATCCAGGCTGTCCCTCGCGCCGAAGTCGCTGCGCCTGGCCCCTCGGAGGGTGCCTGTGGTCCCTTGACTGATACTCAGACCCCTGCTCTCTTCACATGGACTGTGCCGGGGCACAGCACAGTTAAACACCACCTGTCCGCCTTCGTAGACACACGCCGCATAAGCGCTCCTTTGGTGCGCACAGCAGTCGCGTCGTCCGGAGACGTGTCAACCCCAGAAACAAACATCACACGCCCAGTTCGGACCGACTGCACTCACTGCCCTTATTTATGCACGTACAAATCCGATGTGCCCGCCTTCACTCACACATCGCGGACATCCTGGACACACAGCGCATTTACCACAGAATCCTTATTTACGCACGAACTCCGTCATTATTTTCACCACAACCTCACTTATGTTTGTTTTGGGCTATTTCCTGGCCTAGGTGCCCCTCCCACGTACAGAGAAGGTCCTTTAAAAATTATCCTGCTGATTTGGTCTTGGGAAGAAGGTTACATAACTAGTTGGAATAGTGGTAGGTGTAAAATATTGAACGTATAGTCTTATTCCCTCTTTACAAACCTTAAAACTGGTAACTGGCTGGTTGCTTGCTTTTTAGAGCAGACTGTCAAGGAGAGTAAAATCTGTTCTGCTGAGTAATTGGATACGGAAGAGCCAGTGAAAATATATGGCTATGCTCCTGTCAGGGTCCTCAGCATTCCACACTTTCCTTCCCCAAACCTTTATTTCAAGCATGCTTTTGACACACCAGTATTAGAAGTTATTGGTAAATCAAAAACAAACTGAACTTTTTGAGTACTAGTAGTAAACGAAATAGAGAGTGGCTATTGTAAATATCTTCCAAATATTAACATTTGCGGTTACAGCCTGAATATTAACTTCTGCCCCAAGAAGAAATATATTTTTGGAATTATTGTATTTAGAGAAACCTCTTTCCTCATACCTTCACACAAATGCTCACTTAACATTATTTATTCCTTATGGTGTTCACTATTTGTAAGTCTCTTTATAAATGATATTGTTTCCCTCCTGCCCACCAGACCATTAATTAAAGCATCATTTTTGACAGAGGAGTAGCTACCCTGGGAAGACTTACTAAGTTAGGCCTAAGACTGTGACATATTCCTCCTGAGCACAATGGCACTGTGCTTTGTAGATGGGAACAAATCTGTTCTTTGTTAACAGGAGTAGGTGTTTTTCTTTGAAAGCGAGTTGTAGGATTCTAACATGTTGGCGGCCTTTTGTATTTTTAAGTGCAGCACAAAGTGTGAAACTTTACCTCTGGCATTTAGTTTTGGTAGTCATGGCTTGTTTTTTTGCTTTTTCAGAGTTCTTTTCAGTTCTATAATAGAATGCTCAGCAGCTTAGTGGGATGAATTACTAGTGGTTGCCATTTAGCAGGATAAGAAAGATTACCTCAGCTGTTTCTTCTTTAGAATTCGGTTTAACAAACTCTATTAACAAACACTCCCAACAGTCCTACAATATAAAATTGTGCATATGATCAAGATCCTGAGTGTCTTCTAAATAATCAAAACATGATTTCAGTGGAATACATTTGAGCACGTATTAGGTACAGTTTAGGTTCAGTAAAGAGTTTCAATTTTTTGTTAATTTGAAATATTTATATAGTTTACATATCATAACTTTGTAAATGAAAATAATCCATGAACCAACAGTCCCCATTCACCAGTCATCCTAGTGATGGGTTATCAGAATGGGGAAAGTCTGATTCCATTGCATTTGATTAACATCAGTTTAAGCTTTTATTACCTGAAATTGAAAAATCTACTTCTTTTTTCACTACATTTATTCCTAGTTTTGCAGTTGCATACACAAAGAAGGCCATATTAATTCTATAAAGTTCCAGACGTGTGGGTATAAAACAAATTTTAGAGCTTTTTCCTTTTAAAAGGAGGCAAAGAATAATAAAGTAATAGGTACTCTAGGCCCCTGGGGTACAAAAACAGTTAAGAAAAAAAAAATAGAGGCAGTTACTAACAGTGTTTTAAACATGACTCTGAGTCTTTTTTTTTAATATAAAGATTTTATTTATTTATTTGAGAGAGGGGGGAGCACAGGGCAGGGGCGAGTGTTGGAGGGGGTGGGACAAAGAGAAAGGGAGAAGCAGACTCCCCACTGAGTGCGGAGCCTGACTCAAGGCTCATCCCGGGACCCAGAGAACGTGACCTAAGCCTAAGGGAGATGCTCAACCGACTGAGCCACCCAGGCTTCCCAACCTGACTCTGAAGCTTATAAAATTTCTTAATTCATAAAACACTCTCACACTTCCCAATGAGAATTTCCTAACATGCTTAATATATTTGTGTAAATGTGTACAGCCCCTTAATATTTCTTATGATTAATTAATGTCCAGGTAACATAAGATTTATGCTCGCTACATGCCAGACATGCATTTTTTGGTTTAGTTGTCAAGTAATTCTTATAAGGAAGGTACTGTTATTTCCATTTTACAGCAGAGACACTGGGGCACACGTTAAGTAACTTGCCCGAGATCACACAGCTAATATTGAGGCCAGATTGACAAACTTTTTATTTTTCTATTTTGTAAACATATGTATTTGATTGAGGTTGTATTAATTAAAAGACTGTGTTAACGATTATGAGCTGAAAGCAGGCCACAGTTAATTTATTCCTTTATACCATTGTTTTAACTGTGTCCCTGCCACTAACTGTATCTGTTATTGAATGGTTCATATCCACATATAAATTGTGGTTTTCTTTGGGCAGTGAACAGGGATTTCACTAGCACGCAGTCTTTGCACTGTGCTTTGATTACTAATAATGATAGATAAATTTTTATTCACTAACTAGTTCCAGAAAGAACTCTCAGCGTTTTGAAGCAATACAGTGTTCATGTGTCTGTCACATTTGAACCTCTGTCCTTTCCTGTGACATTTAGTATTTTATTTTCAGTTTTCCTCCATCTTTCAAAGATACTGCTTTCCAGATCTTGTATGTGTGCAACATTAGGTTCCTAATTACATAAAAATTTAGCATTCTCAGATTTTGCATTTCCTCTCTCTTATGTGTATTCACATCCCCCCCCCCCACCAAACACACAAGCTCGTGCTCTTATGCTTTTTTCCTCCATATTTTACATTTTTCTGGTTAATCCTTGAGAATTGAATCCTGTTACAGGCATTTAAAGAATCTTCAGAGAAAATTATTTATCAGTGTATCTTTGTTTAACTCTAGATATTTGTAGAGCAATTGAGTTGTTGGAAAAACTGCAAAGGAGTGGAGAGGTACCACCACAGAAGCTTCAGGCTTTACAAAGAGTCCTTCAAAGTGAATTCTGCAATGCTGTAAGAGAGGTAAGTAAATGGGATTAAATTTACCAAAAGCTTGAGTTAATTAGGTGTAAGATAATACTCTGAAATTTGGGTTCAGAAGTTTTTAAGAAAACAAACTTTAGTAAAATATTAGAACCTATCCATCTCATTTTTTGAAAAGAATTTTTTATTGAAGTATAATTTACATACAATGTTATATGAATTTCAGGTGTACAACATATTGATTCAACAGTTCTGTTCATTATTCAGTGTTCACCACAATAAGTGTAGTCCCCATCTGTCACCAGACATGTTATTACAGTACTAAGATTATATTCCCTATGCTATACTTTTCATGTCCATATTCATTTTATAACTGGAATTTTGTACCTGTTCATTTTTTGGAATTTTTAATAGAAAAACATTGTACCGAGATGGCATAACTGCCTAAAACTTGAACACACTCATTAACTTGACTTAGAACTCAAACATGGTATATTCTGAGATTTTAAATCATGATGATAACTTTGGGTTTTACAGGTATATGAACATGTCTACGAGACTGTGGACATCAGTAGCAGTCCTGAAGTGAGAGCTAATGCAACTGCAAAGGTAGTTGTTTTGTTTTTTTATTTAGTAAAAGAGAATTCGTCATAAACGAGAGGTTTAAAGTAGGTAATTATTAGATATTTGATAGGCTTATTTTGAAAACTAACATAGAGTATCTTTCAAGCCACACTAAACTGTCTCAAATATAGAGACAAGACATTTTTTATTGGCTTTACAAGAAATACTTTATCATACAGTTTAGATAATGCATTAAAAATACACTTGCACAAAAATAATAATACACATGTAATACATAGTTATATATAATATACATATTATATCACTACGTAAATTTTCATCAAAACTCTGAGGTATATATTATTCTGATTTTATTGGTGAGGAAACATTAGATTAGGTTATTCTTCTCAAACCACACAAACAGCAAATGGTAGAACTGGGTATTCCCCCAGGTTGCTCTTTGCTTTTCTCCTTTACCTTAACTCTGCAAATACAGGTAAATGTTGTTAGTAGGTCACCTCTTCAGAGCTGCATATGGCAGGTTTTATGTGCTTTTCTGTGCCAGTGATTTCCTCCGATATTTCCAGCATTGACCTCAATATCTGTCATGTTTTGTTAAAATAAATTAATATCAGCATTAGGTGACACATACTAGACTTAGCCATTAGCAGATAAATTTGCCTTGTTAGTTACTGGCCCATAAAAGGAAATATTGGATTCTCTGTTGAATATAAACACTTAAACATATGGGTATAGTTTGGAAGAGTGTAAAAAAATGTCTCTGTATTTGAGACAGTTTAGTGTGGCTTGAAAGATACTCTGTTAGTTTTCAAAATAAACCTAACAAATATCTACCATTTGCTATAAAAGTATAGAAACTTGGCTTGAAATTCCTTAATTTTATGACCTTCATGGCTTACTGAATTTCTGGGCCTTAGTTCTATTATCTGTAAAACAGGGCTTCTTTCAGACCTTGGAACCTAGTGGTATTCAACAAATCTTGATTTCCTCCTTCTTCCCATTTTTGCTCATGGGACCCTGATCTATCATGAAAAATGGTACCAGATTATTTCATTACCTTTAAAAGCAGAACGAAATCGGGGTGCCTGAGTGGTTCAGTCGTTAGGTGTCTGCCCTTGGCTCAGGTTATGATCCCGGGGTCCTGGGATCAAGCCCTGCCATCGGGCTCCCTGCTCCGCAGGAGACCTGCTTCTCCCTCTGCCACTCCCCCTGCTTGTGTTCCCTCTCTCGCTGTGTCTGTCAAATAAATAAATAAAATCAAAGCAGAACGAAACCAAAAATCTCAACTTTGTGTTAGAATTAGTGTAGATTAGTCTAAATTTGAAAGTTAAAGAAGATGTGACTCTGTTTCATCTTCTGTGGGATTTTAGTATTAACTGGGTGGTTAACTAAAGCAACAAAAAATTTCACGGTTATATGTACCCATCTTTTTCTCAATATTGAATTATTTCTTTAATTTAGTATATAGTACAGAGATAGTACAGCAGCCCAAATGACGGCATAAGAACACTTATCTCCTTACAGGTTATCATGTAGGTAGGTTGTGTCTTGTACAAAAGCTCCTAAAGGAGCCAGGCTATTCAGCCCAAAGCTTAGGGCTGCTGATATGCTGGGGGAGGAGTTTTCTCTTTAATGTGCACCAGTGCTCATCTGCCAGGCAAGCCTGCTTGCCTGTTGCTGCACAGAAGTTCTGGACACTGGGTGGCCTGAGTGACCTAACCAATCTTAATACCTCCTACATGGACCCAGGGTATGTTTTCCAGGCATCATCTCTAAAACCCCATGCACTCACTTTTACCTTCTCCTCCTAACTGCCAGTGAATTTGTGAGCATGCAGACATCAAAAGTAAAGTAGTTTTAAAAAAGAGACAAAAAGGGGCCCCTGGGTGGCTCAGTCGGTTGAGCATCTGCCTTCAGCTCAGGTCATGATCCCAGGGTCCTGGGATGGCCCCGCATCGGGTTCTCTGCTCAGCAGGGAGCCTGCTTCTCCCTCTCACACTCCCCCTGCTCTATCTCCCTTTCAAATAAATAAATAAAATCTTTAAAAAATAAAAAAAATTAAAAAGACAAAAGAACTGAAACAAAGATCACATTTTTAAATATGTAAAATTTTCTTTGAGGCTACTGTGGCTGCATTTGCTGCCAGCGAAGGACATTCTCATCCTCGAGTTGTTGAGCTACCAAAAACAGAAGAAGGCCTTGGATTCAATATTATGGGAGGCAAAGAACAAAATTCTCCGATCTATATATCTCGAATAATTCCAGGTGGAATTGCTGATAGACATGGGGGCCTCAAGCGAGGAGATCAACTCCTTTCTGTTAATGGAGTGGTATGGATGAATTTTATTTCTATTTGTAGTAATGCGTTGTAACCACCTGGGGGTGTATTTGAGTTATAGAAACAAGATTGCGTGTGGGGGAACCAAAGAAGCTCTGTAGTTTAGAAATCCCTTGGGGAGGGTATGTGCTACGATGAGCGCTGTGAATTGTGTAAGATTGATGACCTGTACCCTTGAAACAAATAATACATTATGTGTTAATAAAAATAAATAATTTATTTAAAAAAATAAATCCCTTGGGGAATCCTGGGCCGTACTCTTTAGGACAGTGATACTTTTTAAGGCATTTTAAGTGTGTTTTGCTTCTTTTCCATTGTAAATTAGCAATGCTTAGTGTGATTTTTATGAAGTAATTAAGCTCTCTAGTAGTTAAGGAAGTACCTTAAATTAGAAGTCTGCCCTCATTCTTACAGAATAGCAGTTGCTTAATTTACTTCTGACTTAGTGAAATAATAGGGCAAATTGATTGGTATTTGGAGTAATTATTTGGAACTTAAAAATCAGTTCCTGGACTATAAACAGAATATGATTTAGCAGAGAATTTCACAATGATTAAAATGACAAAGCCACATTATCCTATAGTTTGTAGTGTTGTGATGATACAACATTAAAACTTTTTTACTTATATGTATTTTAAACATTTTTGTATTTTGAGTTACCTAACAAAACCTGAATATTAATTGTGTTTGTGTTCATGTCTATTTTTTTTCCTAGAGCGTTGAAGGAGAACATCATGAAAAAGCTGTAGAACTGCTGAAAGCAGCTCAGGGAAAGGTTAAATTAGTAGTACGATACACACCCAAGGTCCTAGAAGAAATGGAGTCACGCTTTGAAAAAATGAGATCAGCGAAACGCAGGCAACAGACCTAATGCAATTCAAAACTTTATATTCCATTTTGCTTTTAGCTAGGAAAGTTTTACTTGTGACCTACTGATGGCCGCAATGCCAGTGATTGTAAAAAAGAAACAGAAACTTCCCGTGAAATCCTCCTTGCCATTTTATAAACACCTACTTTAACATTGTTTATGGTTCCAGAGATGCATACACTTTTTTCTGACAAGAAAAAGTGAAAGGTGATGGGGGCAATTCTGTCCTGCTGTTTTTACAGGCCTTTTTCAAATGCAGATTTTGTCATAAAGTTGTTATAGATTTTTAAAAATGCTTTTTTAATATTAAAATGTACTTTTACATTCTTAATCTTTTTTTAGAAAAAAAAAGTTTTCTTCATTTGGCTGCTTATTTAAAAATAACAGTTCTCCAATTCTTTTATTGCTTACTCTATTTTTTTTAACTTGTAAAATTTCTTTACGGTTTCCAAGAAATTAAACGTTAACAGTCTCAGCTACAGCAGTTCATTACACTATCAATGTTAACACCACTGCTGCATTTTGTACTTTGAACACATGCATAATATATATAATCAGTGGTAAATCATAACGCAGCAGAGTGGAAGTTTTTTACTTTTATTTAAACATGTATAATGAATATTCATTTGTACTGATTTATAAAAGTTTTTAAACACTGAAACAATCATTGCTAAAATATATATTCTTTCATAATTGAGCAGTGAGGCAAGAGGATGTAATTTGGTTGTTGGCATTACTGATTATATCTATATTCAACAATATATCATAAATTACAAATGCAAAAACAGGTTCAGGTTTCATCTTTTGCAAATTTTTTTAATGCTGTTCATTTTTATTTAAATATAGTTCATATATTTTGGTTTTTCCATTCCTAGAGATGAGCCAATTAGTTTGTGCTGGTAAATAGCAGAAGCAAAGACAAAAAGGTAATACTTTTAACCTCACTAGTCTCAAGAGTGACACACTCTTAACTAGCTCAACTTAAAATAATTGATTTTAAATAGGAAGAAGATAGAAGGATATACTTAAGATACATAGAAATTACGAGGTGATATAGTCATAAGAATCTGCAGACTCTTAAGTCAAAATGAGTAGGAACTCATTCATACTGAGATGGTTGAATTTAGAGATTTGATCTTTGATTCAAATGATGGGAATTCTGAGAGATACTTTCATTTGTCCACTGGATGTCACTCTTTTACTGAAAGGCAGCTAGTAGTGTAGGACTGTGACTGAGGTCTTCTTTCAAGATGGAAATTGAGAGCTGAAGTTCATTTTCAGTCACAACTTACAGGAAAATTTGTACGGATTTTAAGAATTTTAAGTGACAGATGCTAAAAAGAAGATAATGGGTTGAAATGTATAAGGAATTTATCCTAATTACTGACCCTGTGTACAAAGTGGGCATTTTGTAACATTCCTTCAGGAAGAATAGAAATGTATACCTTTTTCTGCATGTTTGTGAGCACTGTGAGTCTTACAAGATTATTCCAGTTTTCAATGATTTTCAGAATTAAAGTCAATCAGCATTGTTATTTATCATTTAGGTATTGAACACTGGATTGCATGGTTGAATGTGTCTTTAGTCCACTATAAAACGTGCTTGTATTGATAGGATCATGTTGTTAAATTGTGTATTTTCAAAATTAATTGATGTTTTTAAAATGTTGAGACCAAAGTAGTGTAGAAGAATTATGGACTTAATTTAATTGTAAAATTATTAGAGGTATTTGTTGTAGAGCTTTACATATTAAAGAGAGCTATTGGTGCATATAAAAACAGTAATATTATTATGCTCGTATTGCATTACAGGGTAAGTAAATCCTGAAAAACCTTATTTAGTATAGCTACAGCTGTAGTAGCTCTCAAGGGCGTGTCAGCATTTCATTATAAATTACAGCTTCCCGGTTCAGTATCTCAGCTGTTTCAGAACTTTCAGCCAAGTTCAATCTTTTTTGGTGTTGAAACTTAGTAAGTTGAGTAAGCTATTTTTTTTTCTTCTACAGTAATCCACAATCTGTTCGTTGTGTGGGTTGGCACTTATTTATAATTCTTAAAATAAAGATAGCTTAAAGGAGCCAAATACAGTAGTTTTGCTTGCTACTGTTGAGCATGAGTAGCAGTAGTTTGTTTTTGTTAATGGAGTTTTCACAGTGTATCCCAGAATTTTAAATCTTGACCACAGAAAAATACAGTCATTCAGTGGCAAAGATGTACAGTAGTGGCCTAGTATAGTGAGGGAATGAAGGGAATTGTCATCTTATAAATAAATGTATGATTCATGAATGTAACATGTAACTAAGCACATTATAAGTAAATAAGTTTTTTATTTGTAAATTATAAACTACCCAATTTCCATCTATTTTCTTGGTATTTCAAAACGGGTGGATTCAGTGATTCTCAGCCTTCGCTGCACATTAGAACACCCTGCAGAGCTTTAAGAAATAGTACTACAGGAGTCCCATTCCATACCAAGTAAGTTCAGAATCTCCGAGGGTGGGGCCAGATACTTATTTTTTTAAACTTTCCAGGTGGTTCTAAAGGACATCTAGGGTAGAGAACCACTTGTTTTCCCCTTTATAAAATGCTCTAATTACACTGGACTCTGTTTGGAAGTATCAGAATAGAATAACTCAAATTATAGCTACTGTTAAGTAGCTGCAAATACAATAATTGATTATCTTCCTTAGTAATTTCTTTAGGAATAAAAGATACTTGGCATTCCTTATTTGGGAAGTAATTACAGTTTATCTTTTATCTTTTTTTTTTTAATCTGCCAATAGTTTAAATGTACAATTTTAATGTCTGTCATCTTTCTGCCCCCTTTGCCTTTAAAACTTAACAAAAATAAATGTTTATTAGTTGAGAAAGCATGTTTAAAAGCTGCAGATGAGAAATACTGTCATTGATAATTATGTGCTGTCTTCATATGGCCACTTTATCCAATAGTGTACTAGATTATAATGGCCTGGTTTGGGGTTTGATAATTGAGATGTGTTTTAAAAAATCATTGTCTTCCTCTTCTCAATTTTTTAGTTACTTTGCTCAAGTACTTAAGTAGTTCGGCTCAAGTACTTTGTTTACAATTTAAATGGTTAGTATAGCATTTAACAGAAGAAATGGCTATGTCTTCTCTGAAAAGAACATCAGCATGACTTGGTGTAGACTTAAAAGAATATATGTTGTGAATATTTTATGATGTGGAATGATCACTGAAATATCCAGGACTCTGGTAATTGTATTTCCTGAATAAATGTATGTTTATGAATTTTCTAACTTACATTTTGTTGTCTCTTCTAACAATCTGGTTTTATACTTTCTATTGTCCAGAATTCCAATAGTGTTTCTTTAACAGTTGTTGTAGTTCTGTAATGGTTAAATAGTGGAGAAAACCAAATTGCTTGCTCATTAATTTTCAAGAACTTCCAAACTAATATGTATTTGGACATACTTTTTAAAAATATCAGCAAACAGTATGCTTCTACTTTAATTCTTTAGTTGGAGGCAAAGAAATAAACCCCAAATGGATTTAACACTTTTTCAATAGATGACTTCATTTACCAAGTTAATTTTGATTCTAAGGTTTATTTAAAATAAGTTTGTATTATGTTCTTGTTATTTGGATTTGGAAAAAAAATTGGTATAACTACACAATAAATGTGTTTCTGAAAGCTCTGTATAACATAACTTTTAAATAAGTTTAAAAGCATAATGTATGGTGGTTACTGGAGTGAACCTTTGAATTCCTATATTTTGTTTTGTCTTTCATAAAATACAACTACAGAAAAAAATCTCTTGTGTTATTTTGAGAGAGGCAGTATGGCATGTGATTGACGGCACAGCATCTGCGGCTGACTACCCTGGTGTGAATCCTAGACCCACCATTACTGTGTAATCTTACATATGTTACTTCTCTGTGCCTTAGTTCCCTCATCTGTCATTTGTAATAAGAATGCCTGTAACTGGTCATTATCTGTAAAGCCCTTGGAAAGGTGCCTGGCATAGTGAGTGCTGTTTGTGTTTGCTATTATTTGCATGTAAAAGCTTCAGGGACATGTGGCCACATAATTAAAATTAGCAAGTTCTTACTTTTGATGCCGTGGAAATAGCCTTTAAATTATGCTTGAAGTGCACCTGCGTGGTTCAGTCGGTTGGGCATCTGCCTTCCACTCAGGTCATGATCCCGGCATCCTGGGATCCAGTCCCACATCAGGCTCCTTGCTCAGCAGGGAGCCTGCTTCTCCCTCTGACCCTTCCCCCGCTCTTGTGCTTTTTCTCAAATAAAATCTTAAAGATAATAAATAAAAATTATGCTTGAAAACTTCATAAGGAATAAGATTCATAAGGAATTTTCAGATTTCTGTCCATTCGGTCAAAGAAGCTAATGGAATTCTAAAATTAGTGGGGTTTTGGGGGTGGAGGATTGAGGCCACATTCAGAATGAAAATCATACTAAGTTCAAGTAAGGGATTTGTTCAATCAGAAAAGCAATTTGTAGGAAGGATATGACCTCTAGAGACGATGGATTGCTGGAATGGGTGTCAGACAAATAAAAGGCATAATTCGGCATTGTGAATTTTTAAAATGCATGAAGATGTATCAAGCCACGAGGAGTACAACAAAAAGTATTTATTGTTAGCATTCAGTTTCTTCAAAATATTAGTAAGCCAGAATACCCATTCTCTAAATCTTTCAATTCTGGTTTTGTAATATTCACTATTGTTAATTACTCTCATTTTAACTAATGAAGTGGTGACCCAGTTTTTTGTACACTTACTTATTTGGTGGCAGATAACCTCCACCTGATGGAATTTTTAAGATTTACTTTATATGGTAAGTAAAAGGTAAATTCATACAGAACCCATTAGTAAATTTTATTCCTTCAATTTTAATTTTTTTTTTTTTTTAAAGCATGCTTTATATAACAAGATACGAGTGAGAGCTCTCCTAAGTCTCATCAACTGCAGAAGTACATTTTGGACTGTCAAGATTTGGTCCTATAAAAAGGCTTTTTTTTTTTTTATGTTTTCTTTAGGGGAGGAAGTATGGCAGAAATCTAATTTGTTACAATGTCCAGAATTGTAACCAATGGGATAAAAAGAAAATTTAGCCATTAGTTGCTGATAAGTTCCCCTTATTCGGCCCTTATTTGGCAGTTATGGAAAGTAGTTGTAATCAGTATCAAAAACTCAATTTTGTTTTTTATTTGGCAAAAAGTGCAATCTGAAGACGTGAAATGGGAAATTTTTATTTCTGGTATCTCTTATTTGCCCTAGATTTGAGCCCAGAGTTTAGATGCTATCTAACTTTGATTTTGCATTTTAAGGTGTTATAGACTGAATTGTGTGCCTCCCAAAAAAGATATGTTGGCAGTCCTAATGCCCAGTACCTCAGAATGTGACCTTATTTGGAGATGGGAGTCTTTACAGAGGTCATCCAATTAAAGCAAGGTCATTATGGGGGGAGCCTAATCCAACATGGCTGGTGTCCTTATTAAAAAAGGGAAATGTGAATACAGACACAGGGGGAACACCATGGGAGGATGAATGGGGTGATGCTTCTAACAGGCCAAAGAACACCAAAAATTTGCCAGCCAACCACCAGAAGCCAGCAGAAAGGCGTGAACAGATTTCTCCCTCACAGTCCTTAGAAGGAGAAAAACCTGCAGACACACCTTGATCTCGGACTTCAGTTTCCAGAACCGTGAGAAAAAATTTCTCTTACTTAAGCCACCCAGTTTGTTTTACTTCATTACAGCAACCCTAGAAAACTCATCTACAAGAGATCCATGTTTTGATGGCCTCAATTACCAAAAATAGATACAGAAGCAAAATTAAATAGGACTTCCCCCATATGTGATAAAAAGGTGTCAGTAGAAGTGGTTTTGACTAGGAGAATGAGGTTCCTTGCCTTTGGGAGCGGGGGAATGCTGGGTTCTTTTTCTGTGCTTGAAACCCTTCCTTAGACACCTATGCAGCTCTGTTGAGCTTGTACCTCCAAAGGGCCATCTGAAGCACCCCTCCGAACTTTGTTTTTCCTTCCTTTAAGGCTGCCAGTTGTTGCCTGGCTGCATCTTTCTCAATTCAAGGACTTTGTAGGAGTTGGCAGCAGTAGAAGATTTAGCACTGAGGAGAAACTTTGTATGGTAGCCCTTCTCCCAATTGGAATGTGATGAGAGTTTGCCCTTGGCCAGGGGGATTTCACCCTGTAACGGTTTGTGTGGGCTCCTTAGCATCCACATGCCTGATTGGAAGGCATGAATGCAGCCTGAACCATTGTGTTGCTCTGTCCTGAAAACTCTTCAGGGTACTTAGGATAGAGTCTGAACAACTTGCCGGGATTGAAAAGGTTCTGCATGCTCCATTCCCTACTTCCTCTCAAGCCTCATCTCCTCCCCCTGCTCCACTGGCTCTACCCCACACCAAATGCCCCTTGCTGGAAGGTTCTCCCTCTGGTTTCCCACTGGTTGCCCCTCCTCATTCAGGTGTAAACTGGAGTTACCACTTCTGTTAAGGCTTCTGTTTGCTCCGCCTAAATACACATTCCTCATCCTCTGTTAATGTGGCAATGCCTTGTTTATATTATGCACTTAATTCTGTTTTTCCCATTAGACCTTTAGTTCCATGGCAGCAAGAAGGATCACCACTCTGTCATTTACATTTGTACCCATATCGCCTAGCATATGGTGCCTGAAACAGTATTGTGATTTGTTCTACCTCGTTGCATTGGCTTACTTTCCATAATTCCCGGTAGATCAAGAACTTATATTGGAAC